CAGCCCCGCCCGCCACCCCGCCCGCCCCCCGCCCTCCAGCCCGGCCTCCGGGCTGCTCACCGGGTGGGAGTCAAACTGTCGGGACAGCTGCTCATAGGCCTGGGGTGTGAAGGGCACGATGGACGGCTGCTGGGCACTCATGGTGAACAGGGGCTGCGGAGAGGCAGGGCGGGGCATGGGCAGGGCGCCCAGCTGGAAGTGTCCCTCCACCCATGGCCCCTGCAGCTGGGCACTCATGGTGAACAGGGGCTGCGGAGAGGCAGGGCGGGGCGTGGGCAGGGCGCCCAGCTGGAAGTGTCCCTCCACCCATGGCCCCTGCAGCTGGGCACTCATGGTGAACAGGGGCTGCGGAGAGGCAGGGCGGGGCATGGGCAGGGCGCCCAGCTGGAAGTGTCCCTCCACCCCCGGCCCCTGCTGCTAGGCACTCCTGAGCAGGGGCTGCAGAGATGGGCGGGATGCGGGGCGGGGCGGGGCCAGAGCCCCCCCAGCTGGGGACAAGCGGGACCCGGACAGGGCCTGCGCACCTCATAGCCGCCCAACTTGAGGGTGACGGTGACGTCGATGGGCTGGTTGACCACGCCAACCACGGAGCGCACCAGGGACATGAAGAGCAGTGGGAACCAGATGATGGCGATCAGGAAGAGGATGATGAGCCCCCCCATGCCGTACTTGACCACCTTCTTCTTCTTCTGCCCCTTGGGCTGGGGGTACTTCTGCAGGGCGGGAGGTGGCCACCTGAGCACTGCCCCGCCAGCCCCTCCCACTCGGCCGTGGTCCCAGGCATCCAACAGCTGACCTGACCACAGCCCACCAAGCTCCTGGAGCCCTGAGCTGTGCCCGCACGGTTCGGGCTAATGGGTTTCAGACAAGTGCACCAAGAACAGCGGGAACAGTCTCCCCACGTGTGCAGGCACGGGACTGCCGGACCCTGCCCTGTGCCACATGCAGAGCAGCAGAGACAGGACGGCTGTGTGTGGGACTGCGGCCGTAGAAGAGGCAGACGAGCACACGCCAGGGACCCCAGGTTTGCAAAGGCTTCTGGGGTGGGTGGCAGAGATGGGAGCAGTGTGCAAAAGTGAACCACACGGTGACAGCCAGAAAGCTGTGCTTCAGAGACGCAGAGGAAGAGAAGAGGGGCCAGCCGGGTCCACAGGGCTGGCTGCAGTTGGAACCCTGGACCTGGCAGCTTGAAAACACCCACTGGGTGGGGCCAACGTCGCTGGACTCCCACATGGCAACCGCAGTTCAAGTCCTGGACCTGGAAACTTGAAACTCATGCTAGGCATGCCTGCATGGGTACCCAAAATCCCGAGAGGAGGATGGAGAAGGGACTGTGACGTGGCCATCTCCCCAGAGGATGATTCCTTGCTTTCTCTCTGTCTCTGGTTCTGTGTACTTGCCGTATTACAAAAAAATCTCTCTCGGGACCAGCAGTTGGCGTAATGGCTATGTCCCTGGACTCCCATGTAGTCGACCACGGTTCAAGTCCCAGACTTGATGGCTTAAACTCACGCTGGGTGTGCATACGTGTGTGCACAAGATCCCGAGAGGAGAATGAAGGAGAGGGGATGTGGCGTGGCCATCCCCCCTGGGGGGTGACTTCTCGCTTTCTGTCTCTGGTGAGCACACCTGTCCTGGAGTAAAAACCTCTCAAAAAAAAAAAAAAATCTCTCCAAAAAAAGAAAAAGCTCATGGAGTGTACCTGCATGCATGCCCCAAGTCCCACGAGTGGAGAAGGGACTGTGGCAGGGCCTGCCACCCCCCGGGTATTCCTCACCCTCTATGTCTGGGAAGCATACAAACCTTACACCCCAATTTAAAAAAAAAAAAAAAAAAAGGCAAGACAAAGTGTGAGCGAGAGAGAACTGCAGTCAGACAGGCCCGGTGATGGGCTGCAGGGAGGCGACTGGCAGCCAGGCGATCTCCAGGCCGCGAGTGTAGACAGCCAGTCCCACAGCACACACGAAGGGAGTCACGATTGCAGTGGGGGCAGCCCTCGATGGCCACGGGCAGTCAGTGACCCGCGCAGGGCACCCCACGTCCACAAACGCACTGCGTGGCTTTCACACTCGTTCACCGAAATAAACGCCAGCTTTGATTCCAGCTCTCCACTACCTTTCTGAAGCCACCTTACACCCACGACAGAAGCAGGAAAGTTGGAGGGGGTTCCTGGCGGCAGACTGGCGAACTCCAAGGGGCGGGAGCCACCCTCCGGCCCTGCAGAGGCATGGACTCACACCGACCCCCACCCCCAAGCTTACTAGAAGACACTTCTCAGCCCCTCGCCGCTGCGCTGAGGCAGGCGGGCCCGGGGACGGCGCCCGGCCCTCCCACCGCGCACCTTCTCCGTCTCCCGGCTGCACTTGATGATGAAGGTGTTGGCGTAGACGTCCTCCACGCACATCCAGCTGGGCAGGGACAGCGTGGTGTCCGTCCACACCCAGTCCATCACGGCCCGCAGTTCCACCAGGAACGGCACCAGCCGGAACCTGCAGCGGGCAGTCGGTCAGAGCCCTCCCCAGCCGCGGGCCGCCCGGGCAGACCGGCACTCACCCCTGGAAGAGGAAGAGGTTCAGGTGATTGTACTTCTTGGTGAGGAAGTTGCCGAGGATGCGGGTGGGGTAGCCCCAGCGGATCTGGTAGGCTGACAGGGCGAAGTAGACGCACTTGACGAAGTACCACAGCTGTGCCACCGTGTTCTGCCGGAACATCCTGGGGGGCGCCCGGCGTCAGGGACGCCGAGGAGCCGGGCCCCGCCTGCCCACCCGCCGCCCGTGCCCACCTCTCGGTGACGGCGGGCAGGACGAAGAACATCCAGAGGTGGATGGCCAGCACCAGCACCACCTGGAAGGCCAGCTTGCCCAGCACGGTCTTGCGCAGGTAGAGGGCGCGGTCCACCACCATGGTGCCGAACTGGATCAGCAGCATCACCAGGAAGGCCTCGGGCACCTGGTCGTCCGACAGCGAGGACGTGATGTCTGTGGCCGCCGAGTGCTTCTGCGGGCGGGAGAGCACGGGTCGGGGCCAGCCAGCGCGGGCGCTGCCAGGCTCTGGGTCCGCTGTGAGGGGCCCGGGACTGGCTCACCCCAAAGGCCCAGAAGCCAAAGATAATGATGATGAAGTCGATGACGTCGGCCAGGAACATGAGGGCATAGACGTCGGTGGCCGCGCGGTGCTTGGAATGCAAGATGTCGTGGAAGAAGCGCCGCAGAGGCTGGTACACGCTCCCGGGCCCGA